AACTCACAGAAAATATGTCATTAAAAAAGATTTTTTCTCTCACCTCACAACTTTATTACCACAGCAACAAAGTCCTGCAGCCTAATCTCTATATTTTTTACCACCACAAAAATACAAATACATACCCTATTGTACCTATTTAAAAATTTGGAAGATTCAAGAGATTGAAAGCTTATCTATCACTTAATAAATTCTTTATATATTGATTTTGATGCTGTTTTAATCTCGATTCATGTTCAGCGTCATTTTCTAGACGCCTAAAATTGTATTCATTAGATGCATTTAAAGTTTTTCTTCCAATACGACTTCTTGCGACTTTTGGCATAGTTAAGACTTTTGTGAGCCCTGAAGACTATTTTTTTTCAACTTTGTAAGGTTGTAATATATTTGTTGGCAAAGTAGTTCAATGTTCGATAACCCTGAAAAGGACCTGTGACCTTTTTATGTAAACTTTTTCTTTACTGAAGTTCTCAGCAAACGTGATTGCCTCTATACCTCAGGGTGATCTTCTCAGGCCTGTTATGGTAGCACCACACTGATCGGAAAGAAAACAACGTTTGAAGCTTTGAAACTAGTTGTACAGCTCTTTCCCAACATCTTCTGGTATAACGTCGAAGACGTTGGTGTCTATAGCACCTTGTTTTTTTGCAGACTCAGTTGTTTTGGTGATCTAAGGTGGGGAGATTGGTTCGTGATGCGTGCTCGTTGAAGACTGTCCCGTTGGCTCAAGTTTATTTTTCCTGCATAGCTGTTAGGTTCGTCCAGCGCAGACCTTGGAGAGGATCGGTGATTCCTGGTTGAATGCTTAAAGTCGAAAGGATAATATAGGGTTGTCGGTTACCGGGGTTCCCATCAGCCTTGCGACGAACAACTCCGCTCGTGACGTCTGCCAGTGAATGACTGACTTGGTTTAATAGTGACTGTCTTTAGTTAATATAGTCTTTTAGTCGACGAATCGCTTCCGGAAATAGTAGTGAAAATGTATTAATTTGTTGGCAAGGCACTTTAACACGTTAGGTGGCCCTAAAAAACCGATGAGATCGATGGTTAACTAGGGAGCGTAAATACTTATAATGGCCCTGAAAAGGGCCAGTGGTGAAATGTCCAGTTATTCCTTATCATTATTCTTAATGATGGAGAGCCAGCTGTGGGCAGCTTGGCGCGTATCCTTGGAGTCTTTGTGTACGGAGACCGTACTGGAGGGAGGTACGCCGCTGACCAGAGAATATTTCGTCTTCAGGTCGTTCCCCTGATAACCAACCGCTCATCGTTAGTCGGAAAAGTGGGCCTGGAGAATACCTTCTCTGTAGGTATGTCGTTTCGCTTACCGTGCCATGCTGATAGTAAAGAACAATGGTGCCTGGGTCCAACTTTCTAAAGTTAGATTAGCCGAAGTAGTCAATATTGACTAATAATAAGTGAAAAGTCGTTTTCTTATTGTTATAAGTAAACGGCATTTTACTGATTCACAGTAAAGTTTAACTGATTTAACTTTAGAGAGAAGGTGTAATGCATACCGTGCCTTCGAAACAGTAAGAATCAACGGTGCCTCGAGAGAGAGGGTGGGCGACCCTTTCGTAGTAAAATCGCCTCGTAAATTATTATTAAAAAGCATGAATTGTGGCGTTTTGAAGTCTAATTTGTACTCATAGATATTAAATAAAAATAAACAACATTATTGTGGCATTCAAAATCATCTTAATTAAGTGACTTTATGAAAACTTTTTGGAAAAAATAATTATTGGAATAAAATTTTTTTTTTTTTATAAAGCGGGGAGGAAAAAATCTTCATAGACACCTCAGCTAATTCGGTGGTAGTACCAGATTCACCTGGTGTGCCTACCGACGAAGAACTAACCTCCCCGCATGGGACAGGTCCGCATAGGAAGATAAAAGGGTATAAGAGAAAATAGAAGAAGGAAAATAACGGAGAATTTCGGAGGCCAGCTCGCTTTCAAAGGGATGAGAGAAGGGGCGCTTACCCATCTGGGCAAAGCTCGAATCTTGGCTTGCTCCTGAATAGATAAAATTGTTTTGGAAAATATGGTTATGAAAATTAAACTTTTGGGAAAAAAATTTTTCTGCAAAATATGTCCACCAATCAAATAAATAAATAACGTGAAATAACGTATCAAAATAATTCAAAACAAAGTCGCTTTTTCCATGCACTTTCAAATGATTCTGACAGTAAGATTAAAAAATGTTTTCCGAACAATATGAAAAAACTATTCTTGAAAGTGTTACGTACGATAGCATATAACTATGCATCCGTGCGTCCCTCGTAGTTTGGGTCCTAAAAGATACAAGTGTAGTTGGGGTCGAGAGAGTTGAGAGAAGTCTGTCGTGAGAGTTGAAACGAGTCGATCAATAATACACTCTTCCCTTATCAATATCTTATCTTATCTTATCTTACTAATATATAAAGCAAAGTCGCTAAAACCGTTATAATCGCTAACCGCAAAAACTACTGAACCGATTTTGCTGAAATTTTGCACACTGATTCGTGACACTTCCTAGATGGTGCCACCAGATCCAGCTTCCATCCAGATGGAAGTTTCACCACTGGCCCTTTTTAGGGCCATTATAAATATTCACGTTCCCTACTTAACCATCAATCTCATCGGTTCTTTTAAGGACCACCTAAGTTTAAACTACCTTGCGAACAAATACACTAGCATTTCCGGAAGCGATTTTTCGACTAAAAGACTATATCAACTAAAGACGGCCACTATTAAACCAAGTCAGTCATTCACTAGCAAACGCACAACGTCACCTGCGGAGTTGTTCTTCGCAAGGCTGGGAAACCCGGTGACCGACGACCCTATAATACCCTCTTGACTCTAAGCATTCAACAAGAAATCTCCGATCCTCTCCAAGATCTGCGCTGAGCAAATCTAACAGTTAGAAAGGGAATCAAAAACTTAAGCCAACGGGCAAGCATCAAGAACCAATCTTCCCATCTTCGATCACCCAAAACAACTGAGTCTGCAAAAAAAAGGTGCTTTAGACACCAACGTCTTCGACGTTATACCAGGAGACGTTGGGAAAGATCTCTAGAACTAGCTCCAAAGCTTCGGACTTTGTAATTTTTTTCCTGATCAGTCTAGGGCTTGCCAATAAATATATTAGAACTTAACAAAGTTGACAGAAAACAAAATTTTAAGCATGCCAAAAGTCGCAAGAGGGTGAATTGGAAGAAAAACTTCAAATGTATCTAATAAATACAATTTCAGGCGTCAAGAAACTGACGCAGAAAATTTATCGAGATTGGAACAGCAGCATCAAAATCGACAAATAAATAATCCATTACGTGGGAGATCAGCTTTTCATTTTACCCTCACAGTAATCTCTCAAATCTTTAAAGATCTAAATTAAGTTTTTTAAATAAGTAGAAAATATATTTGTATTTTTGAGGCAATAAAAAATGTAAAGATTAAGCTCCAGGACTTTGTTGCTCTGGTAATAAAGTTGTGAGATAAGAGAAAAAAAAGTTTTCGTAATATATATTTTTTGGGAGTTTAAAATCTTAACAGCTTTAAAAAATATCCCTTTTCGTAAATTATACGGGAGAAACTGTAAATCAACGGCTCTTTATGGCCAACAACTATTTTATGGCATAAGGAACGCACTGAACTTTTTAGCATAATTACATTTTTTTAATTTTTACAGTTGATTATTTGACCAAATAAACTGTATGGATTCCAAACAAATATGTTTTTAATAAGAAGATTTTTGTTCTGATAAGTGTCAGGAGTATATGTAAAATTTTTAACTGAAAACATTTCACATAACATGTCAACACACTACCGTGTTCCATTTAGTAAGTCTCGGGTGAAGCCGAGACGGGGGGCCGCTTGTAAGTAATATACGATTGTCGAATATAAAACGTTCTTATTATTTTGCGCACACCCCAAGCCACCATTATCGCACGTAACAAGAGTTAAAAAACCGTCATAATAATTTTAATAAAGTAAAAATCTTAAGTTCTTACCAAGTGGCTATAAAAATAATAAATGAAAATTTTAAGCTCTATACCAACAAATTTATTCGAAGTGTTTTTGGAACATGAATAATTACAAACACATAAATATCCATAGAGAGAAAGGGGGGGAGAGATAGACACAGTTTAAAAAAAGATGTACTCTCTTCTTAAACACGATAAGAAACTTTTTCTTGCAGAAGCTAGTCAGCAATCACATTATAGAAACTACATGACTGAAATTTTTAAACAAGAATTTTTAAGTCTTAAAATCATATCCAAATATCAGAAGTTATGGTCATTTAAAGCTACATGTGGAATTTTAAATCTTCATCATATTTATTAGATCCAGTGTAATTCAAATATTCGCCAGTATTTCTTTTTCATAATCTTTGTTGAAGATTTTTCTTTTACTGCGAAATTGAGATTCAGCACAAAAATTTTAGTAGGTTCGTCAAATAGAGTATCAAAAAGTTTAAGAGATGGTTTTTTTTTTTTACGTAAACTAAAACTACCAGAAATACTATACTTGAAATTTCATAAGTTGGAGGTGAAGTCATACACACTTTCTGTTTTCGGGTCCTAATGACGTTATCGTATTCCCACTCCTGACTTTGATATTCTGAATCATTTTTGTTCATAAAAAAAAGGAAAAGTGTGTCTTCAAATTTTTCCAACAATTTACGAGAGAAAATTTTACTAATATTAACTTAGTAAGGAAGCACGTATAATGTTATCGTCAACATATCCTTAATATACCACCAATCGCAGCCACCATATGTATTTTAATCCTCCTAGTATATCACAATTGCGATCACACGACTTTTTACTGTAAACATTAGTTGATCACCTCAAAACGCAAAAAATTAGAAACCCATTACATAAACTTACAAGTTATCCTGCACCGAGCTTCGAAATACAATTTTATCGGAATAATTTTGAACAGATATTACATTACATGAAGGTATTAGTAAGAATTATATTAAACGCAAAATTTAATTACAATTTTATGACATGGACCTTTTATTCAAGAATCGTATTGTGCTAAGCTTTCATTTAGAATCACGTAAAAGGAACTTCAACTTCTATGTTGCACTTGGTTGCATTCAAGAATTTTATCATATTATCTCTGAAGATAGAACTATACAAACAGGATACTTTAACATGTAACAGGTAACAAAGTTAGACATCAGTACAGTATTTCCATGTTACGCAGTTGTAAGGCATTAGTCACCGAGATCTTGAATTTTTCAGAGTTTTGATGTAAGGATTTTCTTCTGTAGGACAAACAAATTCTTCAAACGAAGCTTTCCAGTTGCGTGACTTATGTTCTACTGGCTGCATTAAATTATTCCATAATGCATTCGATGCTAAAACCATAATAATGTTATTAAAGAAACACTTTACTGTAAGTAGATAGATATCCTAATAAAGGTGTGTAAATTTAAAATAGCAACGAAATTGTGTAGATATTTTACACAGGCGCGCACACACACACACACACACACATATATATATGTGTGTGTATATACATCAACTGAACTCACTGCATACACGTATATGCGTGTCTCTGTGTACACAGAGTGCGTACATATTTATTGACCCGTCAAGTGGCGAATTATTCATCGTTTAATCAAGCGTATGCAGCCGCGTGTGTGTATACGTATATATGCGCGTCCGTCGCCACCGGCTACATTATAGCCTCTATGTTGCGGCGGCGTATATCGTGTGCATATACGCGTATACGTGGCATACACTTATCTGGGTAGTCAACCGTATACCTACGTGTGTTTGTATGCATGCGAGAATATCACCAATGCCGGGGGGTGGGGGGTNTAGCACACTATCTGAACTTTTTTTATTTCAAACAATGCAAGTTTTTGCATAATCTTTTTCAAAATTCTTTGTCTTACCAAATTGCGAAATAAGTAATAATATATAATAAATGCCTCTCTTCTCTTTAAATATTAGTATCTTTCCTTAATAGCATAGTAATTTAATTCCAAATAAGTAAAGTTTTTTACAAAAAAATACTCAATTGACCTGTCTTCAATTGCACGAATCATTTATAGTTTTATTTATAGATATTACATGCAAGACATACAGACCGACACTTATGAATACGTTAAATAAGTTTTTTCAGTAAAAATAAACCAAATGTTAAACTGTCCTTTCCTTACCTTAAGAATATTTGGTAGTGTTAAGAATTCACGCCAAGTACCTTGACCTCCACCTAAAGCCGTAACTCCTCTGTTTTCAATGATCACTTGAGCCAAATTGGTGGCGAAAATGCCAAAACCAGCAGTCAAGGAATCTCCCATCGCACCAATTACATCTATGTCTCCAGGTCTTAACTGGTGAACAGATTTAGGTACTTCTAACGATCTGCCAACTGTATAAAAATTGGATAATCATGAGCGTTATAATATAAAGTGATTGTAAAAAAATATATGTTTGAAAAAAATCAAAAGTTTCTGAAATGAAAATACCGTACTGATATTATTACCGAGGTACGTTTCAGGATATGTGTGATATTTTTTGTAATATAGTATTTATATTGCAAGTATATATCTTACTTTTAGTTTATTATAAAATTTGAAATTATTTTTTCAAACTTCTACATCCATTCAAATGTCCGTGATTAAATAAATACATTGCAGTATTATTTACAGTATATTCAAATTTTAGAAAGACTAGTGGTACAGTTTTTTAGAAAGTACATCAAAAATTTAATTGCTCATACACAGACTCTCATGAAACTATTGTTGCGAAGCACAATATTTCTACTATTGCTTTAGCTACATAATTAGAAAATTCTTTAAAAAATTTAAGTATTATTATTGGTCATAAATATAATTCATATCAAAATTAAAAAAAGTTTAGCAATGCCGCTATAAGATTATAATCATTTAACGTTCGCATATTGCTATTAGGATCAAAAACAAAATATTGTACTCTAATTTCATTTTGGAGCATCATTTTTTTTAGTTTTTAATTATTTTGCAGAGAAACATGAGTATTGTACATAGTTTTTATAAAATAATCAAATTAGGATTTTGCATGAAAAATTCTATTTATTTAATTTTAAATACTGATGCATAATTTTTCTGTATTAATCAAAATATTTTTTAATTATTAGTCATGAACAACTTACTTTCCAATGTTTTTTTATATTAACTCTTGAGTCGCTCTTCATTCTATTTATAATAGCTTGAGCCATGTAAGGCATGTCATTAGATATAGCACCACTTTCTGCGACATTAAATTCAGAACCCTTTTCGAATGTAAAAGCGTCAGTTACAGCATAACCAAATAAACTAGGATTAAATTCCTGAAATTAAACAATGATTAGTATGTGGAATTCTTGCATAAATAGATTATCTGTTTTAACTAGGTACTTGAATAAATGGTTTAAATAATTTATAATATTTGTGTGCCATATTTACATCCAAAACATTACTTAAAACGGCTTTGTCACTTTTTTAACCAAGCACTAACATAATATGGAAATTGGCGATTTTATTGTTTAAGTATCGCATATTGAATAGCAAAAAGATTCATGTTATATGCTGTACTATGGAACTCATACTTTTAAGTAAAATTCTGATTCTTGATACTCTTTTTCCTAATTTTTTTGGGGTACAAAAATAAAATATTGACGACTTAGATTTTGTGAAAATTGATAAATAAGTAATATTTAGTCTTTTGTGCATGCATGGATATTTTATTAAATTTTTATCTTTCTTTTAATACATAGTTTGCAGGCCTTTTTAGCGAATCCACTTGTTTTACTTTAAGTTGCAGCTAAATAATTAGTTTGTTTTTTTTAATAGTAAATTTGTTATATTATTTGTATAAGCCGAAGCCTTACGTTAGGAACGGTACCAAACAACGAAGCAGCTTTAAAAGGAATTAGCCCAATAACCCAATAAGACATAAGAGTACATACATTTAAAATTCTGAAATGCTTTTTTTTAAACGTGTTGTTGATTTTTAACATTTTGATTTTTTATAACTGTATATTTTACTGCTTTATTTATGCATGGTTGATGCACTAATAAATTATGTATTTAATTATTTATCTATTTACTTCCTGAATTTTAAAAAAATAATTTTTATGGTATATGTTGTATGTATTCCCTCATTTTAGTCACTATTCTAAGCATCTAATGCTTTGTTCGGTTATTATTATATGTCCATCGTGGTTTTACATACTATACTATTATTTTTTATTAGACAACTGGTCGATAAAAACCATTGGATACAAAGAAACAGTAGTATAATTTTAAATTAAACTTTTTTACATCTTAAAAGTGTATTATTATCCTTATAAATTGTTAATACATCCTACTTCATTTATGGGTGCATCACTTTTACAATAAAAAAAATAAATTCTTCGTAGTAAAAAATCATCAACAATAAAAACTATAAAAGTTGCAACTACTAGTAAAAGTACCCATTGGTTTTTCTCGATTTTTTGAACCTTGTATATTTCAACGATGAAAAATACTATTTTTGAGCTTGTGACTTCATTAAAAGTCTAATTAGAAAATTAAACTAACTCTTACTTATTCAAATCAGATGTTTAGAAAAAAATTCGTTTTTTAATTAAATTCATATATGCGTTACCAGTATATTGTTTAATAAGTTGGAAAACAATTAATATAAAATTATTTCAAAAGATGCATGTGACAATAACATGTGTGAAAATATTAAAGGTAAAACAGGTTACACAAGCAGTTTAATTGGAAAACCATTTGATTTAGGAAACTAGAACCTCAACTAGCTTTGCTTACTATTCTTTAAATATACAATGAATAAATTATATTTATCATACGAGTATTTTTTGGCAACGTAAAAAAAATTGTTTATGTTTTCAAAGTTGATTCCATAAATATACATTTTGATTTATTTGAACAGACAGTTACACTAAAAGAATTTTCTGTATTAATTTGAATAAACAAGTTTGTACCTTATAATTTTTACATCTCAATAAATATTTCTGAAAATTAACAATAATTTGGGTAGCACACTATCTGAACTTTTTTTATTTCAAACAATGCAAGTTTTTGCATAATCTTTTTCAAAATTCTTTGTCTTACCAAATTGCGAAATAAGTAATAATATATAATAAATGCCTCTCTTCTCTTTAAATATTAGTATCTTTCCTTAATAGCATAGTAATTTAATTCCAAATAAGTAAAGTTTTTTACAAAAAAATACTCAATTGACCTGTCTTCAATTGCACGAATCATTTATAGTTTTATTTATAGATATTACATGCAAGACATACAGACCGACACTTATGAATACGTTAAATAAGTTTTTTCAGTAAAAATAAACCAAATGTTAAACTGTCCTTTCCTTACCTTAAGAATATTTGGTAGTGTTAAGAATTCACGCCAAGTACCTTGACCTCCACCTAAAGCCGTAACTCCTCTGTTTTCAATGATCACTTGAGCCAAATTGGTGGCGAAAATGCCAAAACCAGCAGTCAAGGAATCTCCCATCGCACCAATTACATCTATGTCTCCAGGTCTTAACTGGTGAACAGATTTAGGTACTTCTAACGATCTGCCAACTGTATAAAAATTGGATAATCATGAGCGTTATAATATAAAGTGATTGTAAAAAAATATATGTTTGAAAAAAATCAAAAGTTTCTGAAATGAAAATACCGTACTGATATTATTACCGAGGTACGTTTCAGGATATGTGTGATATTTTTTGTAATATAGTATTTATATTGCAAGTATATATCTTACTTTTAGTTTATTATAAAATTTGAAATTATTTTTTCAAACTTCTACATCCATTCAAATGTCCGTGATTAAATAAATACATTGCAGTATTATTTACAGTATATTCAAATTTTAGAAAGACTAGTGGTACAGTTTTTTAGAAAGTACATCAAAAATTTAATTGCTCATACACAGACTCTCATGAAACTATTGTTGCGAAGCACAATATTTCTACTATTGCTTTAGCTACATAATTAGAAAATTCTTTAAAAAATTTAAGTATTATTATTGGTCATAAATATAATTCATATCAAAATTAAAAAAAGTTTAGCAATGCCGCTATAAGATTATAATCATTTAACGTTCGCATATTGCTATTAGGATCAAAAACAAAATATTGTACTCTAATTTCATTTTGGAGCATCATTTTTTTTAGTTTTTAATTATTTTGCAGAGAAACATGAGTATTGTACATAGTTTTTATAAAATAATCAAATTAGGATTTTGCATGAAAAATTCTATTTATTCCGTCTGGAATAACTTTGAAAAATAATCGACACATATTTTTGTTTTTTTCTTACAAATAAAAATTAAAAAAGATACAGTACCTGAAAATTATGGTATTTTAAAAGTTACAGAAAACACGATATGTATGTTACATTGTAAAGTATACAATACACATAAATTTTCTAGAATAACGAACGAAAAAAATGAGCCCAGAAGCATAAAAAACGATTTTAAACTTTTACAGATACAACATTTTGAAAAAAGTATCGAACACACATATAACCTTAAGTAACGTAGAAAAGGTTCCATAAAATTCCATCAAAATTTAGGCTTGACTAGATAATACCAAAACCTAGCATTCCTAAAAGTTTCTAGAAAAAACATTTATTTTTACTCAAATTACAGTAAAAAATCAAAATGACTGTTTTTCACGTATGCCTTTATGACGTCACATGCACAAGAAATACATAATATATTATACTAGCGGCCCCCCGTCTCGGCTTCGCCCAAGACTTACTAAAAGGAACACCGTAGTGTGTTAACATGTAATGTGAAACGTTTTCAGTTAGAAATTTTACATTTATTCCTGACACTTTTCAGAATACAAATCTTTTTATTGACAACATATTTGTTCACAATCCATACAGTTTATTTGGTCAAATAATAAACTGTAAAAATTAAAAAAAAAATTCTAGAAAGTACTGTGCGTTCCTTATGCCATAAAATAATCGTTGGCGATAAGGAGCGCTTGATTTTCAGTTTCTCCCGTGTAATTTACAAAAAGGGCTATTTTTNTCTTATCTCACAACTTTATAACCAGAGCAACAAAGTCCTGATGCTTAATCTCTACATTTTTTTTTGCCACAAAAATACAAATATATTTTCTACTTATTTAAAAATCTGAATTTAGATCTTTGAATATTTAAGAGATTACTGTGAGGGTAAAATGAAAAGCTGATCTCTCACGTAATGGATTATTTATTTGTCGATTTTGATGCTGCTGTTCCAATCTCGATACATTTTCTGCGTCAGTTTCTTCACGCCTTAAATTGTATTCATTAGATACATTTGAAGTTTTCCTTCCAATTCACCCTCTTGCGACTTTTAGCATGCTTAAGACTTTAGAGACCCCTAAAGGCTATTTTCTGTCAACTTTGTTGAGTTCTAATATATTTGTAAGCAAGGTAGTTCAACGTCCAATTGCCCTAAAAAAGACCGGTGAGCTTATTAAGTAAACTCTTTCTTGACTAAAGTTTACAGCAAATTTGACTGCCTGGATACCTCAGGGTGATATTCTCTGGCCTGCTGTTGAAGACCCAGACTAATCGGGAGAAAAATTACCAAGTCCGAAGCTTTGGGGCTAGTTGTAGTGCTCTTTCGTGATTGGTTCGTGATGCTTGCCCGTTGGAGACTCCCGTCGGCTCAAGTTTTTTTTTCTTTCATAGCTGTTAGGTTCGCCCAGCGCAGACCTCGGAGATGAGGATAGGGTGATTCCTGGTTGAATGCTTAGAGTCAAGAGGGTAATATAGGATCGTCAGTCACTGGGGTTCCCAGCCTTCTGACGAACAACTCTGCTCGTGACGTCTGCCAGTGAATGACTGACTTGGTTTAATAGTGGCCGGCTTTACGTAGTCTTTTAGTCGACGAATAATGTTTCCGGAAATGGTAGTAAAAATATATTTATTGGCAATGTAGTTGAAACTTAGGTGGCCCTTAAAAAAAACTGATGAGATCGAAGGTTAAGTAATGAACGTTAATACTTATATTGGCCCTGAAAAAGGCCAGTGGTGAAATTTCTAGTTATTCCTTATTGTTATTCTTGACTATGGAGAGCCAGCTGTTGGTAGCTTGACTCTTACCCTCGAAGTCTGTATACGGAGACCGTACATGAGGGAGATGCGCCGCTGACCAAAATATATCTCGTCTTCAGGTCGTTCTCCGTATAACCAACCGCTTATCGTTAGTCGGGAAAGTGGACCTGGAGAATACCTTCTCTGTAGGTATGCCGTTGGAACGACCACTAAGAAGTTGGCCGTTGTGGCTGCCCGTACTCTTCAGGGCTGTTTTTCCTGGCTTACATTTGTAGTAAAAAATTCTCTGACGGCACCAGGCCAGATTGTGGTACGGCCACATTACTCTGAAGAGTTGGAGCAGGACGTGCTCTGGCTAGACACGTCTCCTGGTAGTCCGCTGGAGATATCATCGGTTAGAATAAATTTTTTATTGGTGGCACTCGTCAATCCTGGAGGTTCAGGTTCAGGGTGAGAGAGTAGACCTAGATCACTTGCCCATTGGAGAAGAGTATCGACGGTTACCGGGGTACCCAGCTGCACGACTATTATCTACGTTCTCGATGCAGCTCACTGAACTGCCGATAAATAACTGAAGAAATTTTTCGAGACGCTCTGGCGGATTATAACCACACTTATTTAATTCTGATGCAGGTAGCTTCGATTTTACGTCGACGCCACCTAGCGAATCTTACTGAACTAAAGTTAAAAGCTGGCGAATTTTTGAAAAACTTTGAGGTTATTTACTGATATTGTTAAATTTTTCAAGATAAAACCCATACTAAAACCATCCAGGAAGTGTCAAGAATCGGTATGTAAAATTTCAGCAAAATCGGTTCAGTAGTTTTCGCAGTTAGCGATTACAACGGTTTTAGCCACTTTGCTTTATATATTAGTAAGATAAGATAAGATATAGCTATGAAAAATGAAAGATCTTCTAGGGGCTGTATCTTGTTAAGTTTTGAATTTAAAGAAAAAGAAAAAACATGTGTCGATTATTTTTCAAAATTATACATGAGGGACCAAATGAAATTTTTCATGCAAAATGCTAATTAAGTACAATTTTTACAAACACGTATTTTCTCGTACAGTTAGTGGAACCCTGATTTGTGTGTATCCGTTTTGTGAATAAGCGATGTGGACGTCACGTTACTAACAAAACCCCAATAATACTCCCTAAAAGAATGGCAAGTCAAAATCTCTTAGATTTCCATTAGTATTAGACAATATTCAAAGCTCATTCTTGGAAATAAAATGAGAAAAGAAAAAATTGCGGACAAGTGATTAAATTCCTTGAAATAAAGCTTCAATGATTCCGAAAAAAGTCTTAAAAATAGTTGATCAAACTCTACGAGATTTATGCGACAAAGACAAACCTTTAGAAAACATACACATTATTTTCAGTAATGATTCTCGACAAATTCTGCCTGTCAGTAAAAAAGTAACAAAAGTAGAATTGTATCGGAAACAATAAAACTTTTACATTTATGGACATCATTTCAAATATTTAAATTGAGTGATTCTCGTATTCTGCATTTAAATGACCCTAAATTATCTAAATTTTTATTAAAAATAGAAAATGAAAATATAAAATCACTCGTCATCTCTAGAAAATTTTTTTTCAGTATCCAAATTTTAATTTCATTGAAGCAGAAACTGTCACTAATTGTAGTGTAAATGGAAAAACATATAAAAGTGTTTGTGAATTTGATGATAATATGTATATTAATGTCGTAACCGAAGTGTTTACTAATATTCATGAAGGTCTTTTACCTTACGAGTTAAATTTAAAAATTATAACAGTAGTCAACTGCACAAAAATTTACGAGCAGTAGATGGGTTCACTAAGGGAACTAAATTAAAAATAACAAAACTATTCAAACATAATATGAAAGCAAAAATAATGACTGGTCGAAAAATTATAAACAAAGTATTTTAAAATAAAAGTGTGATATTCTTTTTCACAGACTCACATAGTTCACAGAAATTTAATTGGGTCTCCTTTGCTCTCACTAATACTAATACAGCAAAATTTGTTTATATCCAAGCAGTAATTCTATTGTAGCACCTTAATCGTTACTTTTTGGGCCTTAACCTAAAATCTATAAACTCGCAAAATTACAAAATAAACTTGTTTAAGGAAAAATAAATCTCAGTTAATTTTCAATAAATTCAAATAACATAGAATAAAAAATATAAAATTTAAAATAAAAATAAAATAATTTTTTTCATCATTTGAAAAAACAATTTTACTTGTCACAATACGGTTATTTGATGCTTCTGTAATGAAATAAAGATAGCATGTCAAGAGCACGTAAAAAAAATTTACTAGTAGGCGTTTGCTCGTCGGCAACTGAGTAATTGAGACTTTTCATTCAACTGAAATATCCAAATAATAAAATATATGATATAATGTAAACGTATTTGGGTGATTCTGTCGTAAGTTTTTCAGATCGACTTAAAACATTGTTCAAAAAGAAGTTGGTTAAAAAAAAATTTTTATGGTATTTTTACTGTACACAACATCAGTAACAAA